GTGCCAAATATTGCTGAACAAAAATAGGGTGTGATCCCTAGGGTGCACGAAGTGCCACATGTGGGGTTGGATCCTTGGTCCGACATGTGCTATTTTAAAGTTCTGAAATTTTTCAGAAATACCTTTTTATGAAAGTTTACAGCAGAAACAATATTTTAATATTCTGAAAAAATATTTAAAAATCAAAGAAACATTATAATACCAAAATAAAATGTACTAGGAGTGTACCATTGGGTCAAAATAAGCGACACTAAGGGCACACTACTCGCCCCATAAGCCATGATCCACAAATGTTCTCTTATTCAACTCAACAAAAGTCCCATGACCCATAATCTCTTTACAGGGGTTCATGATTGGTTTGTCAAAGTCGGATAATAAAATAATGGGACTATGATCCTGGAATGTGGATTACAGTCCCTCTTTTAAGAGCAAATCTACACTTGTCACTATAGTGCAAAGGGGGCTCTCTCAATGCACATGTACATGTGTCAGCATTTCAAAAAGAGGACCGCATAGCGCTCAAGCCCAGGCGCCCAAAAAAAGCGGAGGTTCCTAAGCGCCCGCCTAAGCGCTCAGGAAACCGACTGGGCGGCCGCCCAAGTCTAGCACCCCTCCCAGAGAAGGAAAAAGGTTTCAGTGGGGGCTATTTTTATCCATTTGTTTTAAACTAAGGGGCCAAAAACGGGGTTTTTAAGTTCAGTTGAAACCTAAAACTCATTAGAGCCCATTTTAGAGAGAGAAAGCCACCAAAAACCTAGTTTTTGGTAATTTCTTTAGGATCAAAGGGTTTTTCTAAGTTATGAGAAATTGATCAAAACATCACCCATTGATATTAGATTTAATTTTTGATGTTTTACAAATCTATTGGGGGGGTTTTTAGAAGATTTTGATTCCTTAGAAGCATCTATAAGGTGGAAGTTTGTAGATTGAGCAATCAAAGTAAGTAATTTTTTATTGCTTGTATTAGTTGTATTATTTTGAGATGTCTTCTTCAAGATCTAAATCAATTGAGGGGTTTTTGAATTTTGATATGCCCTAAATACCTAATTCTTATGTTTTATACAATATATTACTGTAGAATACTTTTCGGATTCAACTGGGTCGCATAGGTTCTGGGCGCTCGCTTAGGCACTGGGCGGCCTGGACCCCCCAGGCCGCCTAGTACCTGCCTAGAGCTTTTTGAAACTATGACACATGTCCCTGTAAAAACGGATTGCTTCCCATGCAATTGTCATATGTACATGCTGTGCAGAAGTTTGTTGAGGATTTGGCCCTTGCTCTCACAAGCCTACAACCGCACACAGGAGACCACACAGTTCTCCTGACCTACAAACATGATCCCTGGGCATATCTCCGATCTCAACAAGGTATGACCCACTTCAAACCCTTTTCGGATGTGCCACATGCCCAGGGCCAAGAGTTTTAGACTTGACCAAGGCCACAAACCGCCCAACCCTTGGTCAGTCAAAACACACTTCCACTGAAGTGCATATTCCACTATATATCATTTTTTTTACAAGCTCTTTAGACCTTTAAAGGACACAAAAACCCAACAGTGGCAGCACGCAATGTTGATCATGATGCCAGTGAGTGGGTGCAGTATGGCAGTCGAGTGATGGTGGTATAGTGGCGAGGGGTTCTAGTGGCTAGCTGGTGTTGGCAGCGATGGTGGTCATGATCATGGTGAAGGTGGTGCGGTGGTGGTGGTGGAGCAAGTGGAAAGAGTAATGGTGGCTAGGTAGTGGTGGTGGTGAGAGAGACAGAGAGAGAGAGATAACCACATAGGATATTTTGTAAAACTACTCCATGTGGGGACCAACTACAATTAGGAACCAAACACCCTTTGAGGTCAAATTGAAACATGCCAAATGGCAATCTATAAATCAAACGATGACTTCAATTTCCCAATGCATCTCCATAGACGAAATCTAAGTAAATATGTAGAAAGCTCAAAACAACTAACTTCTCATAGCTCGCTCATTCTCCTGCCTGATGCACCTAGCATCCAAAAAAATAAAAATACAACCATAATTTGCTGCCCAATAGAATTGTACGATAATTAAATGTCTAACATAACTAAAAACTTTTTGTTCAATTACTTTGCCTACACTAAAAACAGAAGAACATAAATAATGCAGTTTAGCAAGTAGAACAGAGCGGATATAATAACTCAGTCTTCTTAGTCTTAACGATTGAAGTATTGAAGAAAAAGCTAAATGAACCCCACTCAAACTTGCCCAAGTCACACAAGCTCAACAACATGTCAAGCCTGGAAATCCCCAACTTTCATAGGGCATACTGTAGCATAGCTTGCCCAAGTTACAGTAATAACTCAAGTGAGTTGTCAGAGAATTGGCGAGTAAGTCAAGCAAGTCTTTGACAAACTCACCTCTGAGCTGGGAAACCCCCTTACTCGCTTGGGGGGATGGGGGGGGACTGTAACGTGGCTTGCCCTAGTCACTATAGTAAATCAAAGCAATTGTTAAGAGACTTTATGAGTTTTTGATAGACTTGCCGGTCTATCAAGCTAGGGGTGGCAAGGGGCCAGGTCGCCCAGCCCAGCCCGGTCGGCCCCACCCTACAAATTGGGGCATAGGCCACAAAATGTGGGCCGGGCCAAGCCTGAGCCAGGGCCAAAACAGGGGCACCCCGGTTTGGCCCTTTTGTTTTTATATTTCTCTTTTATTTTTTCATTTTTTTCCATTTGGACCGGCCTCCCCCCTGATAGAGCCAGGGCCGGACCATAGGGATAAGGGCTAGGCTGGGGGCAAGGTTGGCTCAACCTACTACCAGCCCTATGTCAGTCCTTGCTGAGTCCAACAATTTTTTCAGTTTAAAAGGGGAGAAAAAAGAAAACCCCATTTTTGTTCATTTCTCTCCAATCAAGAATTCAATCAAATTGAAATTTTATAGTCTAGTTCTAGGATCATTTTACAACCTCTATCTATTGAATAAATTAGATTTGAAAGAAGCACATCAAATATCTCAGAGTTGAGATACTAGCATTTTTTATTTAGGGTTTGACCGAAGTTCAATAACTTGTGATTTCTTTGCAACTCTAAGCAAACCTTGGTCGAAATTTGTTAGCTAAGCCTATTTTTGAGATCTTTATCAATCATATACCTATTTCTCACACAAACCACTCAGAAACTGGAATTTGCAAGATTTTGAACACCGAACCACTATTTGACAAAAACTTTCAAGAGATGGGATCAACTAGATCTAAACTCGAACCCACGATCATACTCGAAACACAATTTGACCTTTTTTTTTTTACTAATATATTAGGTCTAGTAATATTCTAGTTAACATCGTATCTTTGTTGTATTCTCTCAAAAAATCAGTAAGATTCAATTTTTCTTTTCACTTTCATGTATACAGAGAGATGTTTTAGTTCCATGTATAGAAAGGTAATATTTATGTTTCCTAATGTGATTTTTTTAAAATTTATTTTCCATTTTGTATATGGATTTAATGCAATTTCTCTTTTTCTATTTTTGTATTTTTTGGGAATTCTTTACAGCGACCCACCCAGCTTCGACAAAAATCAGCAAGTCCACTCGGAACTTGTCAAGTTGACTCACTCCCGCCCTAGGCGAGTCCCAGAGAAAGTCTCGAGTAATTGACCATTGGATTTGAAGATTATGTGCATAAAAATGGTTGTTTGATTGTTTCCCTATACTATTTATGTTTAGTCTTCAAATGAAAAAAAAAAAGGGAAAAAAAGAAAAGAAAAGAAAGTAATGGTGATAATCAGCCAGGTATATCAACCTGTTGCTCCTTTCTTTATTTAACATTTTCTGATTTTGATAGACTGAAAAGTAGCCCAAAGAACATCTAGTTGAAGGTTGAGAGTATCAAACTTATTTGCATCCTAGTAGGCCTTGAATTCAGATATAATCACAGTTCCCATTGTTAAGAGATTTTGTTTAACTTACAAGCTGGAAATCCTTGCATTGCTTCCTTTAATATATAGTTCAGGAGAAGATCTGAAATAAATTGGTTTGAGCTCCATTAAGCAACAAGGGAACCGGCAAGACAATACAGGTGACGATGTTCCAAGAATACATTATTTTTCAAAAATAATTAAAAAATATTCTGACGTGAGAAATCATTCAATGGAATACAGAAGGAAACAACGTCTGCATCTCTGAACTAGTTAAGAACTCAAGATGGAACTCAGTTCTAAGATTAGCTAAGTAATCCCCCTCTCTAGTGCAACAATCTGAATTACAAAAGGATGAAAAGGCAAGGACAATGATTGGTAGAATATGGGTGAGAATGCCATTATCCTGTTAGAAGAATAGAAAACCATTATGATAAACAAGAATATAAGCAGGCAATTTGTAAAACAAGGCAAATATAGTATCAAATGACGCCAGACAACTAGCTATTCACAGGTTTGCAAGGAAGAAGATAGTTATTACAGTTCTGAGAAAGTTGATCCTCCAAGGTATATCTTAGTCCCAAGATATAAGAATGGAACATGTAGCATATATCTGTCAAGACACACCATAAGATCACCTGTTCAAGAGATTTTTAATATATTGAAATAATTTCTAGAGTTGTGTAAACATGTGAGCAGTATGTCGAGGTACAGAGATTCAGGTGAACCAGACAATGTTATGAGCATTTTCAGATATTGCATTTATAAGTTTATGTAATTTCAATTAGGTACTACTTTACGCAACTTCACATCAAAATAAGGACCTTTTTTTAAAATTTCAGAAAGGCATTTAAGATTGTTTTATATCTGAAACACAGCAAACTGTCATTTAAGATTTCTCTATATCTGCAACACAGAAAACTCTGTTAAGACGAACACAAAAGATACCGCGTCCCTAAATTATTGAAGAGACGCTAAAGCAGAGGGTAGAGAAAGAATAACACAATATGTGCCCAATCTATGTCCTCAATAGGTCCAAGTTATATTTAATGCCAAACTGAAGAGATATCTGATGTTCAGAACTAGAACAATCATATTAGTAGCTATGACTCACCGCAATCAAATGGGTAACAGATGGCCGATAAAGAATAGCCTTCCTTGGATTTGGAGGCAACATTGCATCATCCATAGCCTCAGCAATTTTGAGATGATTAATTCCAAAGCCATCAGGCCGATTGCATACACCATCAGCACTTGAATCAGTCAATTGGATTTGGTGGAAGGATCCACTGGGCTCCCACTCCAAACATTGCAACATTCTGAATGTGTCCAGTGTTATATCTGAAAACTTGACCTGCCAATATAATGTATATATATGTAGACAGGTAGATAGATAGATACAGAGACAGAAAGATAGAGAGAGAGAGAGAGAGAGAGACTCAGTAAGTGTCCATGTTCCATAATGCATCAAAACAAACTAAAATGATATTTCCACGAATATTGGAAATTGCAATCCAGATGAAGAATAACATAAGAACTCTGTGATGAAAGAAATTGCTCAGAAAAAGCAATGAAAGAATTAACCTCATTATGATGATAGCTGGTCAGCAATGCATCTTGTAGCTTTAAAGGCCTCCATGCCTTGAGATTGGCCACATTCAGAAGAACAGGATGAGAATCATAGGGAACACAATATCGCAAAGGCCTGACAGTCACAAGTTCTGTATCTGCTTTTACGAATCTGACAATTTCTTGCACCACATGCTTCCAATCTTTAAAGCTTGCATCCTGGTGAGGGACGCGGCCAAAGATTGTTCAATTATATGAGCAAGATTGCTAAATGTTCAACACAAAGTTACAGTTTCAATGAGCCAGGACACAGTTTTCATCCATTAAGTATAACATAATAAACAAAAGCAACTGCTTGCAAAAGACACTAACTCAATTTAAGCATCAACGATTTCCATGTTGAGTACAAAGTAATGTTTAATTACCAAGTCCACAACTTGGACTTGGGCAAGGGCAAGCCACTCAGACTTGGCATGGTATCTTGTCCAAGTGAAAGGCCTTGGCAACTCACCGAGTCTCCCCTGTTACCAAGGTTTTTTTTTTTTTTTTTTTTTTTTAAGTTGGAGATTCTGCCGTGACCGACTTGGGCACGACTCAGCAATGTCTGACTGCTGACATGGACCCGGGCGCGGGCCCTGCCTGGTTCTAGGGCCAAGTCAAGTTTTAAAACCCAGGTAGAAACCACAAATTATTCGTCAAATAACATGTTCACGAACATTTATTGAATACAAATTATAAACCACGAATTCTTCACGAAGTAAACGTTCTTGAGATGTTAAGAAATAAAATCTTCACAAAGCAATTGTTACCAAACAGGGATTTGCATTTTCATTGTTGTGCTATCTGAAACCAGTGCAAGGGTAACTTGAGTTGTCTTAAAAATTATGAAAAGTAGCTTGCATGTGACCCATGAGTTAGAACATTGAAAAATGGCAAATAAATAAATGTCATTTTAAATGTAATTGTACAAACCATCAATTCTTCACAAAGTACAGTTACATATACTATCACACCTTAATATTTATTGGCCACTATTTCAACATTCTGGCTCGTGGGTTATAGGCAAGCTACGCTTTTGCAATTTTTAGGCAAGTTAAACAGCTCAAGTCATCCACAAACTGGTTTCAGACAAGTAAAAACAATGAGAAGGAAAATCCCTTTCATCGGAAAATCTACATGCCCAAATTGCAAACTTGAAGACTGCAAGAGGCGAAGATGACAAAAGCAAAATACATTTTCTGAAGAGATTTCTTAAACATTAGAGCATGATTCCCAGACAATCAAAGGTTCATGTTGCAAGTAAAGCAAGATGTAGTTTGACAAGCAGAAATCAATAACATATAATTCCTAGGAACCTCTACAAAATGCAAAAGAACATCACCGTCCAAACTAGAGGTCCATGTTTTCCGCATATGAAGAAGTTTGAGCCTTATTGGATAATGGTTTTTTGGCTCTAGTGGGGCATGGTCCTTGAGGAGGGGCGCGGGGATGAGGCTTGGACCCATTTGACATGGGCTAGTTAGGCTCACCCATTGTGGCTCACTGTGCCTGCGCAGTCTAGGGCCTAGAATAGTGTCTAGAGACACACAAATATTTTATCACGGGCATCAAGGCAATGGACTTTTTTTTTAGGTCATCCTTAGTTGAGGTTGGAGATATGCATGTGGAATGCCGAGAGGAAGACAAACACTTGTGTGGGGTTAGCAGCCCATGAGGACGAGAGCCTAAAACCTCAACATTATCGCAACACGGCATATATTCATATGATAGCCGCATTTTGGGAAGCTTCCTCCTCAGGGAGGACCCGAGGAGAATATGCGCACGTGCTGAAGAGAGATCCCCCGCACCTCCACGTTATCGTGCATAGGACCAAGGGCACAATTTTGTACTTGGGTGAGAACCTATAGTCTACAGGGTTATCCCCGTAATCCCACCATCTTTTGGTTGGTTTTGATGAACCAAGCAAGAACCCAGGCTTATATGACTGTGAGTCATGGATTTGGGACGGTTTGAGAGCATGGCCTATGGGTTGGGAGGGTAGACTGGGTGGACTGCCTTAGTTCCTATTCTCCTTTAATGGTATTAAATGAGCCCAAACCACTTCATAATGTTAAGCGGGATTAAAAAATGATTTTGGAATATTATTGGGTTTTTTTTAAATCCTATAAAAAAATAGGGAAAATCAACAAATTGAGAAAATACCAAAAAAGACAGCATGTGTATCCAAGGCAGATGTGAGGCCCAGTGGCCCATCTTGGACCCACGCTCCAAGCACAGGCCCTACACTTTATGTCATTAGGGCCCCATTTTCTCTCTCCTCTCATATGTTAATTTTCCTTTGTTTGAAATTGTTGAAGTTTGAAATGGGTATAATTATAATAATGGGTTTGGGCATAATTCTAAATGGGTTCAAAGGAAGAGACATGTCACAAGATCTTTTGAACATGAGAAGTGAAATCTTGATTACTTGTGTCACCAAGAGATTTAAACACATGCAAGCTAGTTGAGACACAGCGAACTCTAAACTTCATGGCCCTCATCAAGTTCGGTTCTGTTTACAGTTCTTTGGCACACCTAATGCAGATCATAATCATAGTTACAGTTCTCGCCTAGCCATCTACAAAGCTGCTGGTTATTGCAAAGCCCAGCCCAGACTCAGGCACTTCTACAAGGTTTGTCTCTTGAAAAAAAAGAACTCCTGCCTTCGGTTTGCCTTCTGCTTCAATCTTGTTGCGGACTCGATCACTCTTTCCGAAGTAAAGGATTGTTTGTTGTTCACTCTCTTGCTATTTCCTGCAGTGAGCACAGCAACCAAGGTGCATCGTATCATATAGAAACAAGTAAAGAGTAGTGATTCGTACTACCATAGTCCATAGTAAGAGCGCCACCCATAGTGACTGAATCTAGCTATTCTTTGGCCACATTCTCAGTCACCATTAGACCCCTTTTGGCGCCCATGAGTTGGTTACTTCAGCCTCTATCACATACTATTTGTATGCTTGCGCACCCTTCCACCCATTAGTTGGTCACCTCGGGCCTTATAAAATCTCAACCATTGGAAGGGCGTCTACATGATGTGGACGGGATACTTTTCCACTGTTAAAAGCCCAATATCTGCTAAAGCTAGTTAAAACACTGTACCTTTGTTTAATCACAATATTTCTGCAAAATTACAGCTAGGCATGGATGATTTTGAGCAAGAACAATTAGGAATTGTGAAATTGCAAGGGCTCGACCTCCACCATCTAGACAAGTATTGAATATCATGCCAGTGAAATCCCGTCCTTTCAAAAATGGTCACAGTATCATACTAACTGACATTTGATTTCCCCATAGGCAGAGCAATTAATAACATCTACTGTAAACATTGAATAAGGGCATTAATCTGTACCTAAAAATCGCCAGAATATCCCTAACTAGAAAACTTAATTTCCATAATCTTTTAGGATTTTATTTGCTAAAAAAAACTGCTTACTGTACAAATAGTAAGAACATGAGACATACTGCCTTTAAGGCAAACTATACAATGAATAATTTAATCAACATGTAACTAATACACTCTTAGCACCACCTCCATTCCTCCTCAATATGCTTCATATTATCAGGTTATATTGCACTGGAGCAACTGAATGTTGTTAAAAACTTAAAATTGTCATAAGAGTAGGCTGCTAAACCACTGCCCTAGACATGTCTAACAGATCTTGATATTTGGCTTCAGAAAACGACACCAAGAGAACATCTCTACTCCTAGTAGAGATAAACAAACTACTGCAAAAGGCAAAAGTACTCTAGTGGAGTGAAGGTTGTGAAGAAAAAATAGGTTTCATTGAATAAAACAAATTAATATATTGACAATCTTGTATTATGTGGCGTCCTTAATACAAGGAAATACACTTAGCTCTTCCAGTTGCACATCCTTGTGGCAAGAGCTCAGGAGATGGCGGCCAATGCTGATTCCCCCAAAAGTTACTTGGTCAAGCAACCCATAAAGCCAATCAATTGTCCAGGTACTAAAATTTTACAGTATCTCACAAGTACAACCTGCTTTTCACAAGATCGCCACCAACAAAAGCACTAAGAGTTTACATGTTTTTACTACACATGTCAAATTTGATAGTCTAGGATTGAAGTCTATACTGAGGGTTTACCTTGGTTAATTCAAAGTGCTCCATGTTTAAATTAGACAAAACCAATTCTCACGCGAAAAGAGCAGTTCATCCCTTCATCCCTCACATCAGTCAGACAAAATCATTGAAATGCCCATCCATTGAGAAATTCTGAGGCAACCTATCCATATCATGGCACATTTTGGATCACAAATGGTAGCTGGATCAAGAAAATCACAAATTGCATAAAATTTAAAACATGCTATAAGATATAAACAAAGCAAACAAATGAGAGGAGGATGTGTGCCTACAATCCTTCAGAAAAAAAGGCCACCCCTTGACAAGCATGTCCCATAGATATAATTGGACAACAAGTTGAAACTCTAAGATACCATGAATATATGTTCCACTTAGTTTGTGCAAAGATGGTAAAAACCCAAATAGGCAATTAGACTCAAAGAGAAAAAATAAAGAAACAGATATAGAGAGTTTCGTGGGCAAAAGGCTGAAAAGCAAGGGCCATTGGGGAGTCATCCATGTTGCACAATACGGCTTTTAGATAGCAAATATGGACAGGGACCAGAGGCCACAAATAGCACAATCAAAGCAAAAATGGACATCCACTTGAAAAACAGCTTCATGCACATGTAGGACTAATGTTTCGAAACTCACCTCAAACCAGGTACCTAGCCCTAGCCCGAGGAGAATTACTCGGGTGAGTCCAAGTACACTCACCCATGTAATGTATAACGCCAAAAGCCCAAGAAAAAAATATAAAAAAAAAAGAAAATATTAAAATAAGATAAAGATATATGTCAAAATAATACCAAAAACAACGTTAAAAGTCCAAATAAGTATCAACAAATTATATAAAAGATGGATAATAAAAAAACGATTTAGAGTTAGGGACATTTCTAAAAAACCAATAAAAAAAGAAAATATAAGAAAAGGGCATAAGACAAAAAACTCACCAGTCTATGCCAATAACAACTCAAATATATATAAAAATTTTATACATCAATCCCATATTTTCTAGATTATTTAGGATTTTTTCTCTTTCTTGATATACCCCGAGTTGTACGGAGTAACTGGGGGTAACTCAGCTCGCCAAGGGACCAAATCCCAGTAACATGGCCGAGTCACGAAACACTGAGTAGAACCTAAAAACCAAGAATGGTGGAGCTCACCTATATCTCGAATCATCCAAGGAAAGCTCCACCATTCCTGGGAGGAGTTATTCCCATAATCCCATATATTTATTAAGATTGAAATCCCATGAAAGTGAATCCCCTAATACGGTACATTCAAGAAGCCTCAAACTGCCATGAAAGTTCACTGATGTGGGTTCAAGCAACGTATCAAAACCCCAAGATGGTATGAACCATTTTCTAAATTTGGAGAAGTGGAAAAAAGTTTAATGTTGGCTTAGCAAGCTTTCCAGACTGACAAAATGGACGACTTTCCATAACAGTTCTTTGTTTACCTACATTGCAGCCAAAAATAGATACTAATATGTTTTGAGTATGAAAATTGGAAGGATCCAAAGGGTGGGAGAATAAGAGAAAAGAGGAACACCCAAAAGAATATGTTTTCTGATTGTTTGATCTTTTCCAAAGTTTAAGGGAGGACAGAGATTGGGTTAATTGGTCACCATCTCTGATGGCATAACATAACAATTGGCACACAACGACCAATAATACAAGAAAATAGCTGAACGCTTAGTTTAAGAGTCACTATTACGAGGACCTAAAGAAGTAGGGGTCAAGCCTTCTGTTAGAGATTGCATGCTTTTAATACCTCAAGATGAAGTAAACGTTGCTAAGTCAAAAATGCTCAGACCATCACATGGAATGGCATGAAACATAGGATTGTGCCCTATGTACCTGCCACCAACTATCGACATAACTCTGCCCAGCGCAGTACAGATGTGTCATCCTTTGATGCATTAAAGGATTCCATACGGTTGTTCTTCTGCACAATTAAATGATATCTACAGTTTCATATGTATTTCTAACAACTAAACAAATTCAATAGAATGCGAGAAACAACCCACTGAACAAAGCCACCCAGACCACTGACACTCTCTCAAGCATCTATCACACATATGACTTCCACTCAATTAACAAAGTCGATTACAAAACGCCAGCAATTGAAACACTTAAGCATTCAAACTCACTGCAAACAAAATTGAGGCTAAACTAACTAACCAACCAACTAACACACACTCCCTCTCTAAAATCCCCTGGTCCATAAAAGAAATCAGAAACATGAAAAGAACCAGGGGGAGAAATGAAATCACACCTGCAAGGTTCGTTTGCACTCATCCAGGAGTGACTTATGTCTTTCAACAAGCTTCTGCACCATCTCCTCTCTGTTCAAGAGCAAGCAAACCACCATGAACCTAGCCAAGAAGCGAAGCTCCTTGTATGCAAGCCCAAGGTCCTGAGAGCTCCCCTTGAAGTAATATCTCTCTAGAATTGCCTCATAGAACACACAAGCCTCCACCAAGAACCTAATTTCACTGGTCCTCAGATACTGTGTATAGTAAAGCTGACCAATTCTTGAAGCGATCTCACCTATCTCGGCTCTTCTAAGCCCCGCCTCAACAAGCTTCTGTCTGTTCTCCTGCTGAAACTTCCACAGCTTCATATAAGCCTTGAAAACCTTCTGAAAATAAGGGCCACACCTGTCCCTACCATGATACGGAAGGTCCCTAACCCTAGCAAACTTCTTCTCTGCACTCTCAACAAGAGATCTGAACTTCTCGCTCACTCTCTCCTCCATTTCTCCCTAATTCCGGCCAAGTCACCGGAATACAGAGGCTGCAGAGATCATAGAAAGAAGCAGAATAGGGCTTAGCTCCTGCGTTGGTGCGAGGTTCAGTTACAGCAGCCGGAAATCGGGACGCAAGGCGGAGCTTTCTCTTCTCTATTGGCCGGAAATAGTAATTGTCGCCGGAAACGGCCAAGTGGAAATCGAATGCGGCTGTCTTTTCTTTCAGGCGGTGGTGGTTGAGTATGTGTCAAGGGGCAGTTTGTGAGAATTAAAAAGTAGTCAATTTCAAGGGCGAAAAAAGTGGGGTTTTTCATAAGCAGCTCGCAATTAAAGGCGGTTCATTTCGAGAAGCTGGCAATTAAAGCCGTCTGCTATTTACAGGAACAAAAAGAAAGGCGCGAGCACTAATATTATAACTCCATTCAAATTCAATTAAAAGAGACAAAAAAGCTCGTGCTATGATGTCACATCCTCCAAATATAAAAAGATAATAATAAAGATATTACCACGGTAAAAATTCTTGGACCGGTTTGTGCGGCTAAGCTAAATGCGGGCATCCTAATAAATCTATTTTTGAGATAAATGGTAAGCTTTAATTTTTAAGGACATGTAAACTCTAACATGGAAATCATGAATATAAAAAAATAAATAAATTTTAAAAAATAAAAATAATAATGTTAGTAAAAAAAGTATTTGGACCGTTAGTTTCTTTTATTTTTAGATGGAACACCTACTTACATCCAGGATGTTTTACACTTTCTGGACCATATATGTAGAAATACGGTCAAGCCCGCATGAAATAATTTTCCAAATTCTTAATTAGACTTCAATCAATTTTTTTAAATATCTAAATTAAAAAAGAGATTGATTTACTTTTTATATAAAGTGGTCACAGGTCCTTACAACCATTTGATGTGAAATTTGATAATTTAGATGTGTCATAAAGTTCAAAATAATTTCTTTTGAAGTTTGAGCTTGGTCAATGGAATAATTGTAGCCACCCAACTTTACATCTAATAGTCAAAGATTATTGTGACTACCTTATATAAAAGGTAAATGATCTCATTCTATACTTTTCCATTAAAAAATTATAGGTCTCGTATATTTAATGTGCTAAATAGCAAGCATTCAATGTACCATAGTTACTTTTTACTTCTAGAGAGATTCAGTAGTTATTGCTGAAAAATTATTTTTAAAAATATATAATTATTACTAAAAGTTTAAATAAAAATTTTATTTTTAAATTGAGATCAATGTGTTTTATTTATAAAGTGGAGAAGTAACTATTGAACATTAGCAAGGATGTATAATAACACTTCGTTGGGTAGCTCGAACGGTTTAACTAGTTAACCGCCATTAACTACAATAACATCCAATAGTCACTTCATCAACCTTATAATATATCTAAGAGAAATGATTCTATAGGACCCTTTCCTACCCATGTGTGTAAGACCTCTAAAGGATCACCATTAAACTTGGCACAAATCTATAGAAAAGTCAAATCTCACACAAATGTAATAATGTTTTAAGATATCCGTACCAACTTTAATGATGATCCTTTAAGGTCCTATACACATGGATGAGAGAGGGTCTTATAGGATCGTTACTCTATATCTAAAGATATGGTCTCTTTTGAGCAATGATCCAATGCAAAGGTTATATTATAATATAATGGAACGACACTTCTAGAAAACCATGTTTGCGGTTTTTGTGTGACCCCAAACTTTTCACACACACTCTCTTCATCTTAATAATCAATCCTCCAAAAAAAAAAAAGTTTAATTTGAACCCTAGATATGATCAAAATGAGTCCCCTCAAAAAACGAATCTAGACCATTCATTTTGTGAATTTCAAGATCTTAGCCTTTATAAACTCAAAATCAATTTTTCCTTTTTTAACATTGTTCATCTAATGATAATTAAGCTGTCCAAAAAAATTGGAAATGAAAAAATCCTTCCAAGGCCTAGATTTAAGCATCTCACCAAAATGAACGGCCTACGTTAATTGGGATAAAAAAATACTTTCTAGGTTGTGTTTTCAATTTTTTATTTTTTCTGTGATTGTTCATTAGAATGAAAGGAATGTATATTTCAAAATTTGAATCAAACAAATGGCAATAAGATGGTTTTTTAATATTGTTGCATCATATTATTATACAACGGTTGCATGAAAGTTTTTATTCTCGCAGTGTCTACTCCTTAATTTTTACTTACTAATGCAGTAAGAATTGATATTACTATACGACGGTTGCATGAAACTTTTTATTCTCGTAGTGTCTACTCCTTAATTTTTACTTACTAATGCAGTAAGAATTGATATATAAACGGTGAAATTCTTTGAACGGATAGTCTCTTTAATGGAGTATGAACCTTCTTTTTTAATGTATTTTTTTAAAGCAAAGTTGTACCATTCACTCAAACTTATTTTCTCATTTTGCAAGTAAAGTTTGCTTTGCAGTTTGCAACTACACAAGCTATTTCGGTGTTCATAACTTTACTGGATCTATATTTGTTTGGTAGGCATTTAACATTGGGTGTAGCTTGTATATGACCGAGGCTCTAAACAAATAGTGTTGAAAGATGCTAGTTTCAATGCTGAAAATCTTGGTGATGGCCCGAAAATTTATTTTCATATCTAATTATAAAGTTTAAAACTTCAAAAGTAGTATTAATCGAGCTGATTTTTTAATACTTGAAAATATTGAAAATTGACGGTCTGAAAAAATATTACAAGATGCACTATTTATGAGCCTTGGAATCCATCTTTTCTAATGTCAATCATCTTGAGGTCGAGATGATCAATTTGAGGAATTTTAGGCTTTAAAACAACCTCTTTTAGTGAATTTTTGAAGTGCACCCTAATTTTAGTGAATTTTTTAGGTGCACCCTAATTTTAGTGGATTTTTTAGGTGCACCCAAAATTGGTTGTTTAGAGCATCACCCTTATATAAATTTTTCCTTTCAAGATTTAGGAGGACTTGTTGATAATAAATCTTTTTTTTTTTTCAACTCAATCTTTTTTATTTGGAAAAGTTTTCTATACTTCTCCTATGGAATGGAAGTTATACCCCCCCTGCCCCCGCCCAATCCAACCATCCAATCAAGTGAGCCATTGATCATCTAATCTATATCTAATGCCTCAAACTATTTTATTTTTAATTGTTTTTCTACAAATCATATGAATGTGAAATTTGGTATGTGCCATCACGTCAATGGGATGCACCTAAAAAGATTTTAAAAAATATTTTTGATATACTAAAATAACCAAAATACCTCTCAAATATTTAGGGTAGTTTGGTCATTTTATTTTATTAGGAATAAGTTTTTAACCAAAATACCTCTCAAATATTTAGGAGTGGATGTCCAAAATTTGGTGTCAAAATATTTTGTAAAAAAATGAAAAATAAAACAATATAGAGGCATGACATGGTGATTGGATCCATCCCAACTGTCCATTCAAATTGGACGGTTGGATGGGGGGAAGTATATAGAAAAAATATAAAAAGCTTATCCTTTTTATTTGCTTGATATTATGACTTTTGAGGAGCACACATCTATTAGTTTACCATAAGATGACTTTTTAGTGGTTGCGATTAGGTGTGGCAATTGGTCAAGTACGAGTGGGATCCGGTTGGACCCCGACCTAGACTTGAATAATATTTGGGTCCAAGTTTTGGACCCGGACCCGACCTGTTGGGTCCAAAAGTTGGACCCATACCTGCACCCATCGGGTCCCGGGTCTGGTTGGGTCTATTGGCCCCGTCACTATGAGTTTCTGCTTTTTTTTTGCCCTCTTTTTAACGGCATATACCCATATTATTGGCAACAAGGTCACAAATACCCGTTATTAGATTTCAAGCCATCTGATTTATCGTTTAATAGCTAAATATGACTATGAGTTCTTATTGTATACGATTCGTAAAACACCCAAACGAATAGGGCTCGAAGAATTTTATCTCCAACATTTTATAGGTACAGGTTTGGTCCAACCAGACCTAGACCCGGATCCAACCCGCCAGGTCCAAATGTTGGACCTATACCTGGACCTGTTTTGGGTGTACCCGACAGGTCCTAAGTTGGGTTTGGGTCCATTGCCACCCCTAGTTGCGATAACCAAATGAACTTTTTTTTACTATCCAAATGACATAGGAAAATTAACTCATGAGGGCTGGACCGCATGGCTACATATGCAGTCCAAAAGGTGTAAAGCATCCATCTTAAAGATGGATGCAAGTGGGTGTTCCATCTAAAAATAATAGAAACTAATGGTCTAAATGTTTTCTTATTAGAATTATTATTTCTAATTTTTAAAATTGACTTATTTTTTCATGATCTCCATGTTAGAGATTACATATTCTTAAAAATTAAGCCTAAAAATCCATCTCAAGAATAGATTTATTAAGAGACCTGCATTTCTACATATGCGGGTTTGGTTGTATAGAAACCGGGTCCAATGAAATATAGTACAGTATTATTCAACCTTGAAAATGACGATGGGGTGTTTCCTATAAAACAGTTTTCTTTATAGAATACTATTTAATTTTCTTCTCTCTATAAGCATACTTGCATCGGTTGTGCTGGACCAACCTGGAAGTACGGTTGGTTACAAGGGACCACGCTGCATTGGACTCATGTGAATGCCAATAGACCCGCTGTCTATTGCCATCACCTCACACGAAAGAGACTCCTCTATATTATCTCATATGAGCAGTCAATAGAATATAGATAGTGGCTAAAATAGCATTTATTTAAAACATTTGTCAAAACCTTGTAGAGCATTTTCAAACCAAACAAACGAGAGTCTGTAAGTTTCCTCTAATTGCACTCCAGCTAGACCCGAACCCTACAGAACCAAACCACCCCTCACCCCGTCAGTTTCCTCAATGGAGATGAATTTGGACTCCTAGAGGTCTTTATGAAATTCAATCAGCTTTAGGTCAATTCCTTTTTACAAAATTTTGTAGGACTTCTAAGTTCTACCTGATGTTTAATTTCTAATCAGTGATTTAAAACAGGATTGCCTTAAATTGCTAAGTCATTTTAAATTGTCTTGATTCGGATTAGGTGATTCTCAAATTGGATCATTGCATGGATACAAATGAACGCTAAAAATAACTTAGAAAAACTGAGAGAATAAAGATAATTCCTAGACTGGGGCATCAGTGGTTGGAAGCTGATGCCTCAACATATCGTCTCACCCTCTATTCTCACTCTTAATATATCAAAACAGAAAGAAAGAAATAGAGAAAGTAAAAGGCGATTCCAATTTCTTCAAACCATAAATGCCTACCAATTAGTCAGACCTCCGAAGTGCAGATATGTACTCGCATCGGAGACGCGAGGCTCATGCGAGGCCCTTAGCT